ATCCATCCATCCACAATCCATCCATCCGTTCGTCCATTCACCTAGTGTGCAAATTTTGACGAGGCTCTGTTTGGAACAAATTACTTGAAGAAGCCTAGGATAAATTTTTTCCCCCTCTGCATTTGAATTTCAAGAATTGAACTAATAAGACAGCAATGGGTCTTTCACAGTTAACCAACTCTCTTGCTGAAGTTAATTTAATTTGTGGGTATGAGACCAACTTCGCGTTGGACTATAATGATTTTTTTCTTTCTTTTTGTCTTCTTTAGAAATGGTATCATGGATCAAGATAAATATAKATCCAGTTTGCGTTGGTGAAAAAAATGAAAGCTATGGGACGGTTTCTGTCCATTTTGAAGTAAACGTAAAACAGTTCAAGCTCGTTCATCTCTCGGGGGGAGTCTCTCATTTGAATAGCCCGGTAACGGCCCAAAACTGGGGAGATAATAGGTTTCCAAACGCACTYTATGTGGTRATTACTGACGAGAATAACATTGTAATTGCACCTTATCCTGGCTATCCAAAATTTTTCAAATCATTTTTCTTCATTGACAGCATAACCGTGGAAAGTCCAGAGTTAATTTATCCTATTTTTGATCCTCCATTGCCACTAAAAAAGGATGATAAACTCAGAGTCTGGTTTTCTCGAGATCTTCTCGGTTTAATGGCAAGTGGCACTTACGGTAAAACCTGCACTGATGTGTATGTTAAATTTTAAGACATACGGTTTTAGACGTAAGGCTWTATAAGAGATAGAGTATGCTGGAAAAAAATACATCGAAAAATCAAACCAAGGGGCACTAAAAGTGTATGCGCAATTTACAAAGAATTGCATATGATTAATCGTTATAGTGCTACTMTGACGAAAATCGCTCAAACTTGGATTCAGCTGAAACTTCCTAAGAATACTCTTTAAGGTCCAGTAATCACTGTATGAAGTGTTTTCTCGATATTCAGGACGAAAGTATGATATTTTTACGATTATTTTTTGGAGTCTGTGACGTCAT